GAACAAGGGGTTTAAAAATGCCACAACAAGCCACAAATTTGAGTGACTGTTAGCCTTATTTGCTTGTTCGATTTATTTTTTAAATTGTCAATTTGAGTTTTGTATACTGGAGAAATTGGAAGACAAAAGTGTTTATTTATCTCGGAAGTTCAGTTAGACGTCATTCTTGCATATGTGCTGCCAATTATGCGCAAGTACGTAGTACTGAAAACATGTATATATGGATATATAAATAGCGTTTTCTAGTTTATCCCCCACTTTCCGACGGCTCAAAGTGACGATCCCAGCTTAGAACACTTTTGTCCTGCATGTTCAGAATTCAACTAAATAAACCTTTCAAAGTGAGAGTAGGAAAAACCACTTTCGGCCTTCATTCTCTGTGACAATTCAAACATTTGTTTCAGACTTTCGCTCCAGACATGCTCCCCAACGTTTTGATGTAATCTTGACTTTTGAAGAAGAACAAAAGCTTGAACAAAAGGAACAAACTGGCAGCAGATTTGCCAAACTCATTCAAACCTGGAGATTAATCGCCTAACATAAATGATGAGAACAGTGAAACTTTGACAACTTTTGATCCTTTTGAGAACTTGCAATAGAGCCGATAAGCCATCGCTTTTTTTAGCCAGGCAAGCAATCATCTAGGCAAATTAACTTTTCGTTTATATTGTGAGTATTTTCAGGCGGAAGTACGATAAGATCCTCATTGACAGAAAAATAAACTACTTAATTCTAAAAAAATTCATTCTGTATCAATGAACAACGTCGAATTAATCTTGTTAATACTTTTCGGTAATATATTGTTTAAATTAGAGATGAGTTGGAAACAAGAACTAGCCAATATGGTTCATCAGATGTAAGCCCAAAAATTTGCTGCTTTTACAGTGAAGTTTTTTGTTTTCGATCGATTTCTCCTAAAGTCAGCTTCCCGTTTCCGACTGAGTTTTTGAAATGAGGCATTTTAAACTGTTTAAACTAGCAGTACCACAGTGTATGGCGGGACTTACCTAGAGTCTATATCTTCTAGTGTATATTATTATACTGCTGAGGTGGTTGCGCGTCCACACCAAAGCTAATATGTCAAGTTATTTATTGGGACAGTAAAATTGATCTACTCGTATCACCAATTATGGAATAGTTTGATCAACTTGGTCAACTTGTTTACAAGCTTCACATATCCGAATAGTCACGCAATCGTGTTTAATATATTTACCCTTGTCAGATCTGCTGAGGTGAATTACCAAACTCATTTGGCACCTGAAACGCAGATAAATATCTGTGGCTTTTTTAGGGGGCAAAGAAAACAGTTCTTAAGGGAACGGTTTCCGGGTTATCCCGTTAGATCGCACCAAGAAGTGAATGAACATAATCTCTCTTTTATTTGGGGCTTCGCAAGGTTCTTTGGAGGCAATAGTGTTGTCAGTTGGAAATAATTCTGGGTACAATAGCTCTTTGGTTGAAGATTAATTTGCACAAACGCCGTTCTTGCCAATAGAATATAAAATTACCTTTTAAATACAACAAACAAATCATTATTGGTTAGGATTTTCCTGCTGTGGCTGAAATGATCAACCACAAATTCCATTCGATGCGGATTACATGGTGCAGAAATATTAATGGCTTCCTAAAATTTCGGTTAATGTGAAATTGGTAGCAATAAACGAAGGTAACAGCATTAGTGAATAATGGAAAAACGTTTTTGAGGATGATGCCAAAATTATGGCTCGTTTTTACTGCCTACATACCCACCTATCGCTGATTCAAGGACCAATAAAGTTTCTTTACTTTTACGATCATTACGCCTTTTAATGGTGCGCATTGTTGCTCAGCAGTTTTCAACAAGGGTAGTTTGATAGTGCACCAAGCATATGTTGATTACGCTTCTAGTTAGAACTTTATTTGCACGAAGCTATTTTAACAGATGCAAGTAAAACAATAATTTTGCTCTGTTTCCTGAATAACTTTAGCAAAATTTTTTATGGATATTTCGTGCTAATGATTTCGACTAATGTCGCGTCATAATGAACCTCCTATAATTGGTCTGTTCTATTTGGCATTTTAAAATTTTAACTGAGGTAAATGGCCGAATAGCCAGAGAAAAATTGATCGTTGCATACAGCATATTGTGTGAACGTACGTGATCGGAACTTTCGAATTTTTGTAGGAGATCTTTGTATCCGATCCTGTATCATAGGTTGAGTTCAATGAAGTTTTCGTTTTGCTTCCTCTCAAAGGATTCAGAGGAATGGGGAAAAATCACTCGCTTAAATACCGCTTCCGGTTTCTTTTTGTTTTGTTGAAATGAGTGCTGTGAACTCACTATTTTTCCATGGTTTCATTTAATTCATTCTTAGGATAACTGATATTAGCCCGTAGCAGTTATAAGAAACAGTTAACCAATAAGTGCATTAATCCACACTAAACTCATGAAACGATAGCAAACCAATCAGCCTACATTATCTACTGAAAAATGGTTATTTAAGGCAGTTTTCGGTGGCCGTTTACTACTTATGTTGTTATTTTTTTGAATGTTCAAGAAGCGTGCGATTCTATTACAAGATGGGATTAAATAAAAACGTTTTCCGGCGAACTGTGCGGCTAAAGTTAATCGCATTTAATCGAGTTCGTACGGGAAACTAAATAATGCTAAAGCCTGTTTACAGAAGATGACCCGCACCAAAATAGATTTTATCGTAACGGGATGTTTGTCCAGCAAGAATTATCCAACATCCGGATGGATATGAATGTATGCAACCTTATCTGCATATGGTAGCTAAAATGTAATTGGAATCATATGAGAGAAAACAGATATAGTCTTTTGTCCATCAATGTTGGATGACGAAGTTGGTCAGCGCTTTTGAGTGGTCTTTTAGAGTTCATCAGTTATTTTTACACAGGAAATGAATCTATTGTCGTTACTACACCCGTATCACGTTATTATTTTGCTAACTTTTAATCAGCTGACTAACGACTAACCTCTGGCAACAAAGGTGTGCTCATAAGAAGAGAAGAAAGTTAACTCAATTGTGTCATGTTCATACTTATCGATGAAAAATATATTGTGATGCATGTTAACGGCTAGAATAAAACTATAGCGCATCTTTCCAAAATATCCGACATTTCTGAACCATTGGTGTTTACAGAAAGTTATTCCTAACCATTCTTCTGCCAATTGGTTTGCTTGCTCCCGTCAGCATTGCTGATTTTCGCTAATTTTTATGGAGCCTTTACCAGTAATCTTTTGTTCGTCCCAAATTTTTCTTACTTTCTAGTCACTGAAACAATGATCTGTCTCAAAGTTTTTATATAATTACGAACATTTGCTCGGTTTGTACAAGTCATTCCATTCCCCGTTGGGAATATCACATGCCGCCCATTGTAAACAAATACTTATGTTTGTTTGGATAAGCGGCGATGTTACGGTGTCGGAATACAGACGCTTTGTTTTCAGTCAAGAAGATCTTACCAGGGTGCGCGAATAATGTCTATTCGGTGAGTGATGAAACGTTTGGTGTCCGATTGAGTAGCTTCACGAAGACAGTAAAATCCAGCCATGGGTACATGTTACATCACCGTGTCAGCACTGTAAGCCTCGAACGATTACTGACTGGCCGATCCTCTCGCCTAATTGTTACGGCCGGTTATTCCATTCAGTAATGCTTTGCTGACAAAACGGTTGTTTCAGGCAATAAAAAATATTCTTTTATAATGATAAAGATACCGAAATCACTTGTACTGTATTTGACTATGAAATGGACGCCGGGAGATTTGTCATTCGGGATGAATTCTCCTTGGCTCGTTTTGAGAGATACATTGGAGAATGGGTAACCTTTCTCGGTTTCCTGCTTTCAATCCCAAGGGATGTTTAACTATATGATATCCACTAGTATGCATTCGCGAATTAAGACAGTATGGTTACATAAGCAAATTTAGGCATTGACTAAGGCTTTCTAGTTCATCAGTAAAAACATACAGCGTCTGAGAACTCAAATGATACACCTTTTGTACTGTTCAAAAAACGACAAAAATGACAGACCTAATTTGCTTCCCGTAATTTTACAGTTGGTGTTGATAGAGAACACAATACGTGGAATGCTAACTTTTCTTTCACTCCCTTTAACCGCCAGAAATATTTTTATGGTAATTACAGTCATATTACAGCACGATTCTGGAAACAGCCGTAGAGCTCGCTAGTACCAGCTGGGTCTCTGGGGGTATGGAAGAGTTTTGTATACTACCTCTAATCCGATAAAAAAAGCACAGTTTCAAAAAAGGATGGCGTACAACGCCATATTCCGCCTGTTATAATGATTAAAAATGTTGGATAGTTACATTTGAAGCGCAAAATATGGTAAATCGCCGACAGCATGAAAAAATACTTAATTTTGTTGAGACTAGAACAATCCGGCTTCTCGCTTTGTAATTCACCCGACCATAGACAGCACCCCACAAACTAGCAACCAAATCTTCGGCCTATGGTGCATCGCAAACTTAGTTTTTTTCAGTATACCTTCATAATGTTTTGGGATTTGTCAGTTTATTTATCAAAATTCTAACTGATCGCTTACTTCTCCGCCAGTCTTTTTCATATAAGTTAACTGTTGGTCATAATATCACCTGCCAGGAAGCTGATTACGTAGGGATTGCCACAGTTTTAAATGATACTGCAGACCATTGCGATGTTTGGTCCTGATAACGTGCTTAAACCCAACGCACACAAAACGGTAAAAAATATGGCCCCGATTGTTAAGCCCACACACAATACGATCATTTGTTTTGCATGATACTGCTATTAAATTCCACACAGACTTTCGCGGATGATTAAAAAACCAATTCGGTCGTTTCTCGTGCTAGTACCTGAAATAAATGAGTTTAGTAATTCAGTGAGAAAAGAACTAAAAACAAGATCAACAAGAATGGTTCAAAGTTTCACTCCGGAGATGAATTTAATCCATGCTGAAAAGCCTATGAACGTTGGATGGTTGATTTATCTCCATTAGATGCACCAACAGTGTGTGTCTATGCAAGCTGTAGAAATGAACAACTTGGTGGCCCTGTTGTTAGTCGGACACGGCACTATCAAACCGCTATCCACTAATCAGCAATATGGTCTACTTACAGAAGACACCGCACCACTGTCCTTTACTCCTGCGGTATGTCTATTGCAGAGCTGTAACAAAACGTCTATTATGGGTAGGCGCCCAATGGTTTGGAGGTAGGGTCATCGGGGAATCATTTGGCTTTAGGGACGAATAACGATCTTGCAAGGAAATGAGAAACTATTTTGAAAAGGTATACATCACGTAGTACATAGCTACGCTATTATAAACTTGTCGTCGTACTAATGACTCTGGGCGAAAAAGCAAATCGGAAAGCCCCGTTGTTGTAAACGAACACTATTTGATGTGTGATATTTCTCATAACACAGAGTAGTGGAAAGTCCATGAGGTAACTGAGCTAGAGGATACAATAGTGTATTTTGCACTTGCTGTTAATTGGTGTCTTTAAGCCATTAAGTCGTACAGTGCACGAGGACTTACTTCTCACCTCAGTTAAGCCATTTTGATCACCTGCAAGAGTGAATTACATAAATTCGAAATGATGCACCCAGGGTTCCTCTGTTTCAGGTTCATTCCTGCCTTGACGCTTGTCACCGATAACGTTCTGAGCCCATGCGAATCTCCTCAGAATAACTCGGTGAGTAGAGGTTCGTTTGCGATTTTATTGTTACATCAAACCTCAACGATGGAGTGGATAGATCTGAGGTCGTTAACATGACCGACTGATGGGTGGTTATTGTCAAACCAAGCGCAAACAGCTTAACTTGCAGAAATCTCAGCTGATGTGTGATTAGCCTCTGAGTCAAATCATCTGCAAAATTTACCAGCAGGGTAGACGTTGGGTTAGCTTTTGCTATTTCCTACTCAGCTTGTTATGTACAGAGGTGGTGACGGAAGATTGGTGATAAAACCACTGTAAAAATACGGGTTCAGAAAGTCAAGAATGTTAGGATGGGACGTATCAAGTCTCATACCTGAAGAAACAGATATGACAAAATACGGTGGGCGAAATGCAACTTTCGATACGGCAGGGAAGGCATACAACATTTATCAAATGTAACAAAGGTGAAAAACTGAGAGTCAAACGTATTCCTCAAGGTAAACCGTAAAAGGTACTCATTGGTTTGACAGTGGTACTTACCTGAATGCCAGCGACTTCTCACACAGACAGACAAAAGTAAACCTGAAGATCCCGTGTCGCCACGTAACACGTTCGTCCATCCGGTCAATATTTCTAAACGTATTGTCGTTTTATACTCACGTTAATGGTTGGTGATATTTTGGTTGTTCAAGTCCGTTTGGTATGGCGGGAAATTTCTTAATTCACCTTAAACGAAATTAGTTAAATACACAGTCTATCAATCGGCNTCACACAGACAGACAAAAGTAAACCTGAAGATCCCGTGTCGCCACGTAACACGTTCGTCCATCCGGTCAATATTTCTAAACGTATTGTCGTTTTATACTCACGTTAATGGTTGGTGATATTTTGGTTGTTCAAGTCCGTTTGGTATGTAGGGAAATTTCTTAATTCACCTTAAACGAAATTAGTTAAATACACAGTCTATCAATCGGCGTACTTTTTTAACCTTTACACCTGCACAAATCATTAATTTTTGAAGGTTTACTCACTGCCTTTTGGAGAGTACGAACAGAAGTAATTTACTGCTGATGGAATCCTCTATTTTTGAATGCTTATTTGACAGACACGCAGTTGATACCCCAGTAACCTCTTGTAACCCGTCTACTTTTCATTCAGTCCTTTCCGGGCCGTGCTTATGACATGCAATTGCAATCGCAATTTAGCTGTTCCGTAGTATGGTAAGGGTAACTATCCTGAAACGTTACTGTATTTTTTAACATTACGAATATTAGGTGAATGCGTAGCTGATACTGAGAGCAGATTTAAGAATGTACACTGGAAATTTCGTCCTGCCACTGCTGTCAATCTACGCTGAAGAGTCAAACACCAGTGTGCATCTCTGTTACACTTATCTAGATTTATCACAATTTTGCAGCACAAAACAACTCCCGAGTTTTTTTAACAGCTGCACTACGCTTCTCGTTGTTTAGCGTGAATTAACTTAGATTACGGGACAGAATCCTAACCGAAAATACAAGGCTGCCTCAACAGTGACTAAAAAAATAACTTCAGAAGAGTACAAACCGCATCTGTTCTGTCTAGGAGCCCTTGTGTAATTTTAGGAAAGTTCGCACATCTATCGGAATTTTTGAACCATCCAGTCTGTAAAATAATTGACTAGTAAGCCAGAAGAAACATATTTGCATACTGATGTTGATGAGAATGACTTTGCACCTAGTGTTTGCAAATTCTTTCATTTCGGAGATTAGATTGATATAATGTTGCTGCACAGAGGCTACTTTGAAATACATTGCATAGTGCATCAGCTGATAAACCATAGTATATGACTCCCACTTTCTAGGCAAATATGAGAGAACCCAATTTTCCAGTATTTCAGGTGGCCTCAGGCATACCGGCCTCTGTTATATTAAATCTACAGGGGCTACAAGAAGTAGCTTTTTTAAAAATCAGTTAATATAATCACCAATAACCCTTGGGGTAATATCTCAGCATATCAACTGAATCTACTAAGGCTGCAGATTCCACAAGAAATTACCCATTCAAATGATATTTTTATCACTACAACGAGCGATCCCATGGGACAAGCTGTATCAGACACAGTCTATCAATCGGCGTACTTTTTTAACCTTTACACCTGCACAAATCATTAATTTTTGAAGGTTTACTCACTGCCTTTTGGAGAGTACGAACAGAAGTAATTTACTGCTGATGGAATCCTCTATTTTTGAATGCTTATTTGACAGACACGCAGTTGATACCCCAGTAACCTCTTGTAACCCGTCTACTTTTCATTCAGTCCTTTCCGGGCCGTGCTTATGACATGCAATTGCAATCGCAATTTAGCTGTTCCGTAGTATGGTAAGGGTAACTATCCTGAAACGTTACTGTATTTTTTAACATTACGAATATTAGGTGAATGCGTAGCTGATACTGAGAGCAGATTTAAGAATGTACACTGGAAATTTCGTCCTGCCACTGCTGTCAATCTACGCTGAAGAGTCAAACACCAGTGTGCATCTCTGTTACACTTATCTAGATTTATCACAATTTTGCAGCACAAAACAACTCCCGAGTTTTTTTAACAGCTGCACTACGCTTCTCGTTGTTTAGCGTGAATTAACTTAGATTACGGGACAGAATCCTAACCGAAAATACAAGGCTGCCTCAACAGTGACTAAAAAAATAACTTCAGAAGAGTACAAACCGCATCTGTTCTGTCTAGGAGCCCTTGTGTAATTTTAGGAAAGTTCGCACATCTATCGGAATTTTTGAACCATCCAGTCTGTAAAATAATTGACTAGTAAGCCAGAAGAAACATATTTGCATACTGATGTTGATGAGAATGACTTTGCACCTAGTGTTTGCAAATTCTTTCATTTCGGAGATTAGATTGATATAATGTTGCTGCACAGAGGCTACTTTGAAATACATTGCATAGTGCATCAGCTGATAAACCATAGTATATGACTCCCACTTTCTAGGCAAATATGAGAGAACCCAATTTTCCAGTATTTCAGGTGGCCTCAGGCATACCGGCCTCTGTTATATTAAATCTACAGGGGCTACAAGAAGTAGCTTTTTTAAAAATCAGTTAATATAATCACCAATAACCCTTGGGGTAATATCTCAGCATATCAACTGAATCTACTAAGGCTGCAGATTCCACAAGAAATTACCCATTCAAATGATATTTTTATCACTACAACGAGCGATCCCATGGGACAAGCTGTATCAGAAAGTTCAGATTCCTGAAATCAACTTCTGAACGCCTGAAACCTACTGCTCCACCAAAAGCTCAACTGGAAAGCCGGCAAGCATCCAGGCCAGTCAATCATTCGATCAATTCAGTAAAACCTGATGAGTGCTCTCTGCGCCACAGAAGCACGACCGAATGTGATCAGCATTCAGGCTTTTCACAGAGGCACGATCGATGTTGATGGGTGATCACTAACGCCTATCAGACAGCCTGGATCAAAGTCAGGAAGTCCCCTTTAAATCGCGTGGGGCCATTGTAACTTTTGCACTCGCTCTCGCACTCTCACTCACTCGTTTGTTCGGAATACAGCTGTTGTGTTCCCTCCTGTGAGTCTTTTCTCTCCTACACTAGGCACCGGAGTGGGTCAGCAGCTATACCACAGATTGACGAATCAGCAGATATAACAAGCTGTTTATCTCCTCTCTTTTATTTTGTATAATATTGTGTGCATATCTACAGAGCTCAAACTCCAACTCGGTTAGTGCAAGGGCATTCAACTTGGATCTTCGTCTGTAACAGAAAACGTATCATTTATCTAATAAAAATGGCTCAGTCACAAACTCAACAAAAGCGAAGATTCATCAACAGTTTCTCGTGTAACTTGCACAGGACAGTACGGCTTCGGTATCAGTTTAACACCCGCTAGTGCGCCGGAAATTACGCCGTGCCTATAACTAATGACTGTAGTCTAGGCTTTCTATCATCACTGTTTCAGCGCTCGACAGAAAGTATATTTCACAATCAGGTTATCTAAACACCCTTTGTAGATTCAACCGGAATTCGTAAGCACAGAACTTTTCTGGAAAGCCCAATAAACCATGTTTGATCAAGCTCGATAGCTGGGAGTCCTATTGATATGGGTCCAAACGGGGCGTCATTCAAAGTGCTATTTTTTCTTGTTCCTTTCTGTCTAGACATCCATGGCTCAGATTCTTAATAACATTGTTACTGTGACAGAATACCACACCAAATCGCAGGAAATCGCTAGATGGTCCAAAACCATTCCATTTATTTTAATGTTTCTTGATGTAATCAATAGCTTGTTTGTGGCTCATTCATTGTCACGACTTCTAATGTTTGCATTACATGGCCTGCTGGTGTGCTACACTTTAGTTTAACATTACAAGTAAACTGGGTTAGTCGCTTTGTTTTCAAGCATTTTGGTGTAAGTCGGCAACTTCAGCGTTACAGTCCTATCTATCTTTATGGCTAAATCTTATGGCTAAATCGTTCAACCATTGGCGGAGGAAATTCCAGTGGCTTTGTAGGTGGTTGTTATAAATTTACTCAACACTTCCTTCTGGCGATTTGAGCTCATAATATACACGCACCTCCTACAGACCGTCCAATTACAAAATTTTGCCAACAACAACCAACATGCACTGAAATCTTGCACTCCCTTCCGTAACCGGGTCTATTGCCAAAATCTGGTTGATGGCGTGATGCGCCCCCCCAGTCTGATCTACTTCCGTTGGATTGCATTTTTATTGATTATCGATAACAGGTCCGCCACGAGTTTGCAGACTGAAGACTTATTACTCTGGGCGCATAAATCTATTTTTACTCTGCCTTGGAAGATGAATGTATGCCGGGACAAATTGCACAGCCACGATGTAATCCAAACGGCTACCGTTTTATTACAGTTTTAAGTATAGTCTGGGCGATGACGATGTCCATTCGTCAAAGGTCACTGAAAGTTGACGTGAATTTCAATTATCAAGGGCTTGGTATATGATGTGGTATATTATTTCTTTCTATCCAGTCGGGGTTTTGACGCAGGACATTTCACTACGGTACCCATAAGGCAATATTTGGTGTGTCCTCGATTGTGTTTACATTTCAGTGTACTTGCGTCATAACCGTGCCCAAGTTTATTTTAAAATAATTTATAATATTGTACAATCTTAGAGGCAGCAATATTCGATGGACTTCCAGACTCTACGTGTTGTTACACGACAGCACAAACATTCTCAGCAGTAATAACTATTGTCTCTCTGTAGATTTTGGTGAGTAAATTCCTGGGCGAAAACCGTGAGAGTCTACATCTTATGATGAACAATACAAACAACAGTTATAACACCGACCAAGAGGTGGAAATGTACTACAGAATGCTGAACCAGCATTTCAGTATAACACTAAAATTATTCGCGAACGGATGAACGTATACCTCGGCCTGGAACTCGTAATAATGGGATCTGATATAAACAATATAAAAGCAGCTGTATTTTGATAAAAATCACTTAATATAATCGCCACTAACCCTTCGGGTAATGTCTCAACGTATCCATCACACCAATATAGGGATATCATTAAAAAAGTTTCGTTATGGGGGAAGAATAAAACCCAAGTGTTAATCGATGAGCAGCCCAAAAAGCGGCTTCTGAATAAAACTTAAAATGGGGAGACTTTGGCGCGCATAATCTACATAAACCAAAGGGGTATGAAGCCTGATTAAAACTCTTCTACAGTCCGTTAGCAATAAAACATTACGTAAAGTTTATCAGGAGCTCACCATTTCCGACCGTCTACCAACTTTATGTTCTATTTGAACGTGAAATTTTACGCAATTGCAAATTAAGATGGAAATAACGGAAAACTCAAGTAAATTTCCCGTTTTTTTCATATACTTTAGAATAAATAGTCGCGATCAGTGCTCTGATTTACTGGTGCGGAGACATTTTACTCACAAATTGTTAGTAAGTACTAGGATGTAGTGTAAACGGAAGTGATACCGCGTGTGTAAGCACACGGTTTTGGAGGTTGCCACCTGTGATAAAGTTGAAGAACCGCGGACGATCCGTAGGCTTTGAACGTCACATCACCGTCTGGCAACGGTAAATGCTTCAGGCCAGCGTTTGCACATAATTTTAACACAACAACCTCAGTGTAAGCGGGAAACTGATAAGAATTAAAATGTAATATAAGTACAATGTGAGCCTGCGCTAGCCATGCAACAAAACGTTGGGCACGGAAAATTCATAAACAGTCCCTAAAGGAGAATTGGGTGTACGGTAAACATAGAATAAGCATGGTTGTCCTACACGCCAAAGATCAGCGGATACCAAGTGCCATTGCACGCCCGCCCTAGGATGTTGTTTTGGTGGTATGTTCTGGGTTACATCCTGAAGGTTTGGAAAAACTAACGTATTTGCTCTTTTGTGTCTCAAGGTAGCGCACAATACTGCCAAATGTTCTTCCATGGCTCCGATCTACCTAATAGGTGGTATTTAATTTGACAGTAGCTGTGTAACAACTTTACATACTTCAGATGTCATTGCAATAAGGTGAGCAAAATTCATAACGCTCTTTGACAAAAAACACTAACAAATGGAATTTGCAGTGCTTTAAGGAAACAGTCACTATGCAAAATGTGTTCTAACTTTGAAGCAGTATTTGTACTGATAAAGAACCCGGATTCGACGGAAAGGCATCAGACTATTTCATCGGAAGCAGGAAAACTGCTATTCTCTAAGAACACTGCTGCCCACAATTTTAGGATGCATTCAAATTTAATAAAGGGAAGTTTACTTGATTCGACATTAAACATTTGGCCCCAACCAAGCCATCGCCAGAAGAAGATCGCGTGAACCGAGGTCGTTAATAACCAGTGTCAATTTCTTTCTCCAAATTTTTTTCAGTTTTGGCTCCGAGACAGGCACGCATCGCATTCTTGAGGGATGTCAAAAGAAGTGAGGCAAAGGATTTGATATATCATAAGGTTGATTTTTCACATTAAAATAGCTTTCCCAAAGAAGTAGTCCGAAGCATGAGAAAGCTGAGCACCCGCTGGAGCGGAATTGTTCTCTATGTCCATCGTCACTGCATGCCAGAGTGGTCGTAGTCCACGCGCGTTGAAAGACCACTCAAATTATTGTTACCATTACTGACGTATAAGATTAATCTGCGAATAGTTTGAGGTGGTCGAGATAGCAGTTTTGTTGGGTAGCAAGTTTGGATTCTTTCAAGAGAGGAAGGATATACCGAAAACCGTTTGTGTACTTGTGGCCACTAAACATATAGTCCCGAAGTAGGTTTGCTCCGTAATTCCTTTCTTCCGTTATGGACTATTGGGATGAGGGACTTACAATACCAAATGTACTCTTTGACTCCATGTAGGATCCTCTGATATGTGCGATTTGTATCAGATATGCTTGACATAGGTTTTGCCCATTGCACCGAAGTAGATATTTTTCAAATTCATTTTCAAAGACAGTACACACTGCAATCGTTTGGTGTTTCAGCATTCAGATCTAGGAATGATTCCAGGCTGATTCTCATTCAGGCGAAATCCCCCCCCCCGAAAGGACTCTCCTCAGGAGATCTCACAAACCACGTACTTTCATCCATTACTTTCACAGCATACATCATAACCGGACTTGGGGTATTGAGACTTCCTTGGATGTTGCTTGATTCACTGCTGGTTTTTGGAATGACATACCGTAGTAAACAATAGTAGGTTGAGAAATCGGTATAAAACACACATCGACTTATATAACCACGTTAAATTTGTTCGAAAACCCTAAATACTTATCTAAATCTGTCTGTTATTTGGTCGGTTTGATTAAGTTACCTCCATCGCGATATTTTCACGGTCAGCATGCAGATGTGCTTACGTGGAGTGAACCGGCGTATCACCACATCCACAACCAAGGGTACTAGGTGAAAGGAAGAAGGCCTTCGCTGCGGAGTTATTTATTGGAAAATGCCAACTGAACCGGTGCAGACTATTGGACAGGGGAGCAAAACTCTCATACGCATCTTGTTTATAGAACGCGTCTTCGTGAAATTCCCTGGATATTCATTGACTCTTGCTCAAATCCGAGCAAATGCTACAAAGAGACTCCATAAATTCCGCAATAAACCCCACTTTTCAAAAGACGCAGAGCAGATTTACGAGACAACATACTACTGACATGTCTCCCCCATCAATAGTATCACCGTTACACAGACAGTTGATAACTGGTCTCAGGTTTAGTTTTCTTACACAGGACTTGTCGTATTGTTCAAGTCTGAAATGACAGCTTCTTCAAACTGAGCTACGGTAATCAAAAAGAAATTTACAACGTGGACCCATTTTAATGATGTAGTAGTTTTTTATGTGAAACAAACAAAGACAATAAAGTACACACTATGCATTTAGCCAATAAAGTGCAATTTATATAGCACACAGGAATATAATCCAACACCGTACATATAAATGGAGTTTGGGCATAAAAATTGTAGTGCTTAGAAACAGTCAGAACCCTATGGAAATAACACTGGGGTGGGTGTGACTTTGGGGCGGAACAAGCCTTACGTTTGTAAGAGCTTCGTTTTGCGCAGTTGGTGGTTATATCGGCCACAGATGAAAGCGGAATTCTCGCAGACAATGATTGACTGACTGACGGGATTTGCTGCAAAGAGCTGAATCATCATTTGTTAGGCGCTCGAACCAGGTAGGGAGGGGTAGGAATCAGTAAGCACTGTGCCTGCTGCTAACCGCTGAAACATGCGGTGGTCTTACTGAATCGCATTTAGTCGGACAATTATATGAACGTGAGATCTAGTAGTGATTTAGCTGATTTTATGGATAACACCAAGATAATTTGAAAATAATTATTTTACCAAATGTGTACATTGGATTTTCACTCGGAAAATAAAGTTGACGAAAGCTCGGGGATAATCAGATGCATGATGAGACTCCAGAAATTCAACGGGGTAATGGACCATTGTTGAGTTTTCAGCAACGTTAGAATTAGTATGTTTTGTCAAGAATTTCATCAGTTTTGAGAAGATGGCATTGCTGAAGTCTTACTTCAAGCTAGTGAAAACATTTATCATCAAAAATTGCCTACGTGAACACCTGACTAAATCATTCTCCATGTCTTTCCAATAAACGTACTACGATCAGCGCTAGAAAAGCCATATCAAAACATTCTTGAGATATCAATTCGTATGTTTATTTCAGCCGAGAAAAACAATTGAAAGCAAGGGGTATCAAAAAGTACACAAGCGAAACCGAATTTTAAGCACATTTAAAATGATTATCAGTGTGAATGTCTGAAATATTGTCGATAAAATTGCTTAAAAAGAATCAAGGACGGTGTACGCGTTAGAG